AGGACAAAAAATGACTTTACTGGACACAAAAAATAATCAAAGGGCAATAATTCTGTAATTAATAAGTTGTAAGTCCTGAATTTGGTATGCTGCACATTCTCTTAGTATGACAAATGTATACACCAAGTTTTCATATCTTTGCAAAAGAGAGTTATACGTCTTGTACACTGCACTTCCCCTTATCAACATCTATCTATCTGTGAAGTTTTGTGTTGATACCTCTGATAGTTTTTGTGCTCCGGACAAAATTATAACAGACTGAGAGATGGCCAGACAGATGGACAAACAGACAGATAAACAGACTGCAGACAGCCAGGCATACAAAGCAGTGATTATATGATCTCCCTTTGCAGAGCATAAAAAAAGTAAAATTGAAAATAGAACAGCAGGTCTAGAATTACAAACAAGAATTAAAATTCTATACTCCTATATATGCTTTTCAGGTTGTCATGGTCAGGTTAATTCAAACAGACAAATACAAACAAGGGTCATGGTGGCCTTGACCTTGTATGAACAGACGTGGCAGGAGGTTGGGAGATAAAAAACAATATGATTTCTATGCTGTGTCAGTGATTCTGACAAGAAAAATATGCCTCCAACCATGAGTTAATTGTACATAGTGGTCAAGAAGTCCTACATCAATTATACTGGCCATTTGGAGGTGTTATCCACCAGTGTTAATTCGACTTGACCAGTGGCTATCAGTCAACAACACGGTCAGTTTCATCTGTCATGTTAGTCTATTTGTAAAAAATTATTGTTATAAAAGTAACCATCCTTCAAAACACTTTTATCAAGAGATTTTCATTGCATTATAACTTTAACTGATGACTTTAAAACCCATAGCTATAATTTAAACAGAAATTGTTCTAGTTTCAGTCTCAGTGACCTCAATTTTATGTATGACCTTGACCTACCCTAGACAGGTATCCTTGTTAGCCTATATATCATAATGTCCATCCATTATGTGACCTCTAACCTCTATTACTCTGTAATATCTGAGATAAAATTAGACCTATGAGCCTCAGTAGTGTCCAACCATACATGTTACATTATGATATGTACATAAGTAAAAAAAGTTTAAACAATTTGTTGCATATCACTAAATAATCAAGTCTTTACCCATCTGATCACTTGCATTATGTGAATTACTACAAAACTGCATCACATATCATAATATTTCTTTTGTTTCACTGAAATTGGTTCCAAGGTTTAGGGGAAATCTGACCAAGATCCCTCAAATCATTTTCAGTCACAATGGCAACTAAATAACATCGAATGTTTCCAAAATTCTTATGTATCAATTTTTGGCATTAATCCTCAGTATCCCAAATGTGACCAATCACAAGCCTTCATTATCTTTCATCAATAACTCTTCTTGAAACACCTGATGTGTCAAATCATAGACTTTGATCAGTTTAATCATTTGACCAAATTTTATTAAAATTGTTCCAAAGACTTATGACCTATGTTTCACTACACAAATACATCTGTATAGTGACCTGGTTACTATGACAACCAAAACAACTGCTTAAAAAGTCTGCATGTTTAATGTAGTTTTATTGAAATTAATGCAAAAGCTTAGGAGTTTTCAGGACAAGATTTCTTTGTAGATACATGAATAGATGGGCGGACATACAAGCTTACATATGGATGGATGGACAGACACACAGACAGACCGTCCTCCAGACCAGGTGATCTAAAAATTACAGCGAATCAAAAAAGAAGTTAGTTGTATTTGATAAAGTTTTTAATTTTCAATTAATACAACATTAGGACCACAAAGTCTCAATATCACAAACCATAAGTAATGTGTGTGTCTATTTATCCAAAAATTCCTGATTGGTTCTAGATTAAGGATTGTTGGAATGAGGCACACAGAACTGGTACAGATGATGACTTGGACACCTGTCTGCTCCACATTCTGTTTACATCTAATGAATGAAGGCCTACACAACAGTTGTAACTCATAACACATGGAAATTCTCCTCCTTTGTGTGTCTGAGCCAAAACAGATAAATCATTACGTTGGTAAACATGTTTTTTAATAACTTTATCTCCATAGTGACATGAACCCCCCCTTATCTATGAAGACAGCTTATAAAATTCCTCTGACAAACTGGACATCTCAATTCACACCCAATGGCTAACACAACTTTTCATTACATATTCTAAGCACAATAAGGATTTCATGAAAGTTTACCTATCTCTTCTACTTGTCTTTAACTCAAAAAGACATGCCTTTGGTAAGAGTTTGATCCAGATCAAAATGAAAAACATCTTATGTAGAACTTGATCAAATGAGAGACATCTTGTGAAGATCTAGATAAGATGAAAGACATCAAGTCATACAAGTTATAACTGATATCTCAGACATCAATCAACCCTACAGAGATTACCAGAGTGACACAGATATGTAGACAAAATAAGACATTACCAGAGTGACACGGATATGTAGACAATATAAGACATTACCAGAGTGACACGGATATGTAGACAATATAAGACATTACCAGAGTGACACGGATATGTAGACAATATAAGACATTACCAGAGTGACACAGATATGTAGACAATATAAGACATTACCAGAGTGACACAGATATGTAGACAATATAAGACATTACCAGAGTGACACGGATATGTAGACAATATAAGACATTACCAGAGCGACACAGATATGTAGACAATATAAGACATTACCAGAGTGACACGGATATGTAGAAAATATAAGACATTACCAGAGTGACACAGATATGTAGACAACATAAGACATTACCAGCGTGACACAGATATGTAGACAATATAAGACCAAAATTCTCATGTGAAGGACCACTCAATAGAATCTGTTAAGAGATGGCAACATCACAGATATTATACCAAAGATACTTCAATTCATTAGATGATTAAAGGAGAGATACCAACCTCACACATATCTGGACTGGATGAAAGACACCTACCTCACAACTATCTAGACTGGATGAAAGACACCAACCTCACAACTATCTAGACTGGAAGACAGACACCAACCTCACACTTATCTAGACTGGAAGACAGACACCAACCTCACACATATCTAGACTGGAAGAAAGACACCAACCTCACAACTATCTAGACTGGAAGAAAGACACCAACCTCACAACTATCTAGACTGGAAGAAAGACACCAACCTCACAACTATATAGACTGGAAGAAAGACAACAACCTCACAAGTATCTAGACTGGAAGAAAGACACCAACCTCACAACTATCTAGACGACATGAAAGACACCAACCTCACAACTATCTAGACTGGATGAAAGACACCAACTAATAGAAGATAGTGTCAAATGGTTAGCATGTAATGACTTAAGATTTCCCACAACAGCTATAATTGTCACCTTGTATAATTAGCATCTAGTAATGGTAGAACGTAGAGCGTATACACCCACAATGAGAGGAGGATTGCTCACACTGTAAGATATTCTTTGAAGCTTGGGAACCCCTCCTCCTGTGATATAAGCTGTCATTCTTGACAGTATAATTATGACTTAAGAAGGAAAGGTGTTTGGCAACATGGCTCAAATTCTATGATTTTCTTTGTTTGATTAATCAGACTAAATAGAAATTGATAGTTATACCCGTATGTTAAATCAGAGATGATGAGCGTATATTTTTCTTGACTGACAGAGATGACTGGAAATACTGAGACTTTCTTAATTTTTTCTCATTTTATCCAATATGTGAATTCATACCACTTGAGTAGAAGAGATTAAACTTTGGTCATCTGAACAACTACAAAGTTACATCAACCTACCTTAACCATAGCCGATCACTTAGCAGTATCAAAACACTGGAGAATTAGTAATTAGTAGGGACGGAAGAGTGGAGATTTTTTGTTGGAGAGAGAAACATGGAGAGATGAATTAGGAAGGAAAGGGCTTGAGGGGTGATAACAACTTTATCACCTAAATACACACTCTATCTGATAAAGGGCTCTTTGGTTTAACTTAGCACAGAGTAATTACTGCATGCTCCCCTGATACAGACATAGATAAAGAATGCTCCCCATCTGACAGACACAAAAAACCGGCTGTACCCATCAGTCTCTAGTTTATTACAAAAATCATAAACATTCTTAATGAACCAATAAACAAAGAGATTATCATCTGCTGGAGTTCTTTTTTTTGGGGAGAGGTGGTGGGGGAATTTTCTGACAATTAGAAAAAATAATAAAAAGATGATGCAATGTAAAGTAATTTACAACCAATACAAGATCATAAAAAAAAATAGTGGATATTAAAACATTGGTTAATATTTCAAGAGACATGAACAGGGTTATTACACAATAAATATCATATAGATACAATATTTGACCAATAAAGCACACCTGGCTTAAAATACACCCTTTCAGCTTTTTTTTGTACTTAACTAACATTGGTATAAATATTCCTTTACACATTTACCAATATACACCTGTATGTACTTCTACATCACTTAAAAATACGTCTCAAATCTACATCTTTATTTTTTCAAATTCTATTTTTTTTTCTGCAGCCAAAGTGTTGTATCTCAAAACTTTCCTCTAACTGTCAAGCCTTAAATGATTTATAAGCATTAAGTGTGCTTATACTAAGATAAAATGTGGTATACATATATTTACATCATCTGTTAAAAAACAGAGGTAACATACAACCTATTACAAAACAATAAGGACAACAATGGTAATCCAACATTTCTTTATTATCAGATTGGACCTAAACCATCTTTATTTTCCTGAATAAAAATGTTACAAAAACATCTCTTTCAAAACTGATTAATGCTAACTTAAAACAAATCTATTGGATACAAAATTTTACCAAAGGGCAATAGCTCTGTAAATCAGGGGTTTCAGGTGCTGAATTTGGTACACTGTACCTTGCTAAAGTATGACCATTGTAGTGTATACACCAAGTTTCATTATTCCTGTATGGTATACCTCTCATTGGAAAAGTGATAATTAACTCAAAGCCTTTGTTTACCTGATAGGAAAGGTTGGATCATATTCAAAGTCCTGGATGGCTTCCGGATATCCGATATCTACTAGTCTCTTTTTGAGGAGATCAAACCCAAGGGATTCATACGCTGGAGACTTGTAGACTGAAATGAAAAGTGAGAGTTTTTAATTCTTGATCAGACAACATTTGCCTATAACCTAGAACCATGTCAAGCGCCACAAGAACACAATGAGGACGAAATACATACATTTTTACTTCACAAACATTTATGAGCTTGACATTTGCTGTTTTATGTATTTTGAATAAACAGAATCATTTTTTAAAATACATCAATAAAATAAAGGATTATTTATGCATAAATCCTTTGAAAACTATTAAATGTTTTACTGATGATCTTGATAAAATGCCTTCTGATGTCTATCATAGTAACAAACTTTGGTCAACATAATGTTTACCATATTGTCAGAAAGGGTGTGGCTGATATTTCAGTGTGGCTTATATGTGTATCAAATTGCAAAAAAATAATTGCTAAAAACCGCACTGCAGACTACATACTGGTGCAACTTATAACCTCGGAAATATGGCAATAGAAAATCATGATATACTTATGTTTTTTTTTTTTTTTTAAATTTTCATTCCATGAAAATAATGCAACATTTATGTGTCAAATAGAAAATCACAAAAGCAGACCACTATTTAAAGCTGATTTACCTAAGGAAAACGATTTGTTCAAATCAGAGACCTTATTTATTTTCAAGTTGGTAATTAAGCGTGGTTGAATAAAAGTTTGATGACCAAACGATTGCTAACAAAAGCTGAGAGAAAAAGAAATGTTTCCTTCTTAAAGAGGATATCATAAGCATGTACTTGTTAGTGACTATTTACTGATATTTAACCAACAAATTGTCTCCCACAATATTTCTGTATTTCAAAGAAAAAATATTCTTACTTGGGTATTTATTTTCAGTGGACAAATGTTCAAAGACAGAACTTTTGTCTTTAATGTAAACTTTTAACAAAGCACACGTTTCATCTCTGGTGACTTGAAGCTGATAATCTGGGTAGCTCGAGAACTCACCATCCTATCAGTTGTCAATAGGGTACAATTGGTTTCTGTAATTATACAGGTGTTCAGAGGAACTGTCTCCAAGTCAGGTCAGCTAACTGTTTACATTCTTGTTGATGAACAGAAATCCCTAGGGAATGTGCAGGTAACATTACTTCTAATGATCTTTTTCACCTTTCTGTCAATAATGGAGGGACAGGTGTGGAAGTTTACCTGATCCGTTCTAATTTATTTCAAATAGCCCCACCCCCATTCATGTCAGATCCCTCAGGACTTCCTTGGGCTCCTGTCCACCCGCCTATAATGGATCACCATTTATTCCAACAGCTCGTTTCCATGACATTATTTCTGAATTTTTGATGTTCTGTTGTTTAGCCGATGGCTGTGCCCTTTGATGGACCACAAACTTAAGCAGTTATATCTTAAAGTAGACATGACCCTTTATGGTGTTTTATCACTTTCCTTTTAAGTTAAAATGTGATAAAGCCTTGGTCATGATAGAAAAGAACAACTTGGAAACAATAAGACATATTACTGGCTATACAAGTTACTTCCCCCTATCGACAGGACATTTGCTTTCTAGTGATCCTCAGTTAACTAAATGTAGGATGAGTAGTGAAAAGGTCCTCACTGTTCAATCCACGTAATTTAAATTTTTTCTTTCTTTCCTTTTCTTTTTTAGAAGTTTTCCCACTTTGTTTTTGGTTTGGCTTTTTTTTTTTAGTTTTGTTTTTGTTTGTTTTTCTTTTTTTTTTTTTTTTTTGTTAGGTGTTTTCTTCTTCTTAATGGTTGAAAAAAATATATACAGCCAACAATGTTCAATTTTATACTAATGATGCATTAACATATAACAAACCTGAAAATTTACACAAACCCAAGTAGACATTGTGTAAAAATTTTGATAAACTGAAACTAAATCCTGATCTGTGATAATGACAGATTTCCTTGGGAACCAAACATTTTGAGGATCTAGAGGTTTTGACTATACCAGGGACAAGTCTAAAAACATGATTAAGTGTTAATTCTTTGATTTCCTATCATCTTAAGGACTATATACTTGTCAATTTTCATCTATGATGAATGAGGTTGATGACAAGCGCAATGATGGTGGTGATGAAGCATTTGATACTGAGGACAGAGTAGATGAGTGATACCATGATACAGTGTACCAGTAGCCTTAGTGATAAAGCTATGGAGAAGGAGCACGCCAATACCATCAGAGAACATAGGCATCTGTCAGGGAGGGAGGATCACCACATTATCTCATTACTCCAAATAATTTGATCTCCATTGACGATACACCCATGTCATTAATATTGTATAAGATAAGGCAGATATGGAAAACAGCCCAACATGAATTCATAGTCACCTGCCTTACTGCAAAATAGACTAGGTCAATTCATAATCACCTGTCTTACAGCAAAATAGACTAAGTCAATTCATAATCACCTGTCTTACAGCAAAATAGACTAAGTCAATTCATAATCACCTGTCTTACAGCAAAATAGACTAAGTCAATTCATAATCACCTGTCTTACAGCAAAATAGACTAAGTCAATTCATAATCACCTGTCTTACAGCAAAATAGACTAAGTACTTTTGATTTATTTTCATAATGCATTAAATCAAATATTGCTTTTATCCAGTAATAATACCATGTTTGAAAGTAAGCCCATCCTTAAATATTGCTGTTCAGTAGAATGTGAAACAAGTGCTACTTCATATTCTACAATAAGCCTCTGACTTTTGTTTATGTCAGTCCACTAAACCTTGTGGAGGGTAACATTTCATTGTCTAAATCATTAAACTCATAGTTCTATACTAAAGACCATTTAGTAGTATTTGAATGGAAGCCATAAGACAGAAATCCAAATGGATGGCAAAACAGATAAACAGACTGATATCAATGGCATAATTTAGGTAATAAAATTCAGGAAATTGTTTCTTTTCAAATCCTAGTTTTAATTCTACTACAAGATTTTTTATCTATCTTCATGATACATGCAGCTATTTATACCAAACTGCCATGTCCCATCACTGACTGATGGTCACCATGAGTAAGAAATCTATTAACACTGTCCATTGATACAGACTTATCTGACCAGTGGTCGCCATGTGTAAGAAACCTATTTATATTTAGACTGTTCATTGATAGACTTATCTGACCAGTGGTCACCATGTGTAAGAGACCTATTTACAACGTCCATTGATACAGACTTATCTGATCAGCGATTAGTTGTATAACCCCTTTATGAACACTACCTGATCAGGGTCACCAAAGTGTTTCTGACATAATCTGTGTCAATATGATGCTTGAGAACCTGGCTATTTCCTGTACCTATTTTCGGGCTTGGTCAGTTTTATTGCATCCAGGGTCATTAGTACCCTTCAGTGACCCTTTGATGTAGATACTACGGGTCACTTTGTGGCCATTTTGAGTCTCTAAACAGGAAATGTATATTTGTCATGCTTCACTCTGATGATAGTAAAACACTCTCAGTTACACATGAATTTGGGAGTGATTTCTTTTGAATGGTCACTCTTTTCATCCCAAAAGGCTTTGACTTCTGTTCTTTAATAGCTAAACATACACTTAACTTTCATATCAAACATAAGGAAACTACTGTTCTTTACACTTTATAATTCAGGAAGAATTTTATAGCCATGGGAAGATCTGTTTCCAAGTCTTTTTTTCTTCTTTTCTTTTTATTTTCTCTGAAGATGTGACTTAGGAAACAATAATATATTCCATAAAGTTTTTATTTCCTTTTTACAGCATTTTTTCACCCTGAATGATGTTTTCAGAAATGTCTTTGAAGATAAAGATTTAATTGAAAAGTAAAAAGTACATTTCGTATAGCATAAACGGTAATTTAAAATCTACGAAATCTGTAGTGCTTTTTTATTGAAGCATGTTAAGGATATAGCATAACATGAAACCCATAAGGACCATCATTTTGTGATAAACTCTGATATACAGTCATCATTGTACAGTAAACTCTGTTTATATTGTCATCATTATGTGGTAAACTGTTATACTGTCATCATTGTGAGGTAAACTCTGATATACGGTCATCATTGTGTGGTAAACTCTGTTATACTGTCATCATTGTGAGGTAAACTCTGTTATACTGTCATCATTGTGAGGTAAACTCTGTTATACTGTCATCATTGTGAGGTAAACTCTGTTATACTGTCATCATTGTGAGGTAAACTCTGTGATACAGTCATCATTGTGTGGTAAACTCTGTTATACTGTCATCATTGTACAGTAAACTCTGTTATACTGTCATCATTGTGAGGTGAACTCTGTTATACAGTCATCATTGTGAGGTAAACTCTGTTATAATGTCATCATTGTGAGGTAAACTCTGTTATAATGTCATCATTGTGAGGTAAACTCTGTTATACTGTCATCATTGTGAGGTAAACTCTGATATACGGTCATCATTGTGAGGTAAACTCTGTTATACTGTCATCATTGTGAGGTGAACTCTGTTTATACTGTCATCATTCTGATGTTAACTCTGTTTATACTGTCACCATTGTGAGGTAAATTCTGATATACGGTCATCATTGTGAGGTAAACTCTGTTATACTGTCATCATTGTGAGGTGAACTCTGTTTATACTGTCATCATTGTGATGTTAACTCTGTTTATACTGTCATCATTGTGAGGTAAACTCTGTTATACTGTCATCATTGTGAGGTAAACTCTGTTATACTGTCATCATTGTGAGGTAAACTCTGTTATACTGTCATCATTGTGAGGTGAACTCTGTTATACAGTCATCATTGTGAGGTAAACTCTGTTATAATGTCATCATTGTGAGGTAAACTCTGTTATACTGTCATCATTGTGAGGTAAACTCTGATATACGGTCATCATTGTGAGGTAAACTCTGTTATACTGTCATCATTGTGAGGTAAACTCTGTTATCATGTCATCATTGTGAGGTAAACTCTGTTATACTGTCATCATTGTGAGGTGAACTCTGTTATAATGTCATCATTGTGAGGTAAACTCTGTTATACTGTCATCATTGTGAGGTAAACTCTGATATACGGTCATCATT